GCTCAGTCACTTAGGTGTCCTCTTGATCTCACTTCAGGTCTCGATCTCCAGGTCATGGGTCATGAGATCAAGTCCTATGTTGGGATCCACAGTGGGTGTGGAAACTACTTAAAAAAAAAAAGAATAGAAGATGTATGGTATATCTTATTTAATCTTTTTACTTTTAATCTATCACATTTTTAATTTAAAGGGGATTTGTCTTAGATTGTAAATATTTGAATCTTTCACTTTGATGCAATCTGACCATCTTTCACTTAAAATTTGATGCTTTTAAATTTGATGCTTAGACCATTTTCCTTTTATGTAATTATTGATAAGGTTTGGCTTATATCTTGCTATTTGATTTCTATTTATCCCATGGGTTCTTTCTATCATTTTCCTCTTTTCCAGTCTTATTTTGAATTGAACATTTCCATGATTCTCTTTTGTTTTTACTTGATTTTACTAATTTTGGTGATTGGAGTTTATAAAGTAACATGTAAGGAGGTAAGAGAATGAGCCATGTGGATATTTGAGGGAGAGACACTGAAGACAGAGAGACAGCAGAACCTGCACAATGAGGTTGAGGCATTCTAGGGATGTTTGATAAACACAAAGGAAGCCAGAGTGGTTAGCGGTTAGTGCTCTCAGTCTTACTGAGCTAGCGAAGTTATTGGGGAACCTTGAGCAGAGGAATAATATGATCTGACTTTTCATTTTATAAAGATCATTCTATTATATGTTCCAAATTCACTCTTAGGGCTCAAGGTGAAAGGGGAGAGATCAGTTAGAAGTCTATTGGACTATTCCCAACAACAACAAAAAAAATCTTTAAAAAAATTGATAGTAGATTAGATCAGGTATTAACAACGGAAGTAAGAATAAAAAAGGGTCAAATACATAATATATTTTGACCAAGAGGATTTAACAGTGACATGAGAGAAAGAAAGGGACAAGAAATATTGAGTTTTTGATTGTTCATCTTTGTTTTTGCTTTGCTTTTGTTTTTTGGCCTAAATAACTGGAAATATGGAGTTGCCATTTATAAAAATGAGAAAGATGAAGATTGGTGGTTATTTGAGGGAATATCAGAAATTTAAGTTTGAGGTTTTTATTTAGAATCCAACTGGAGGAGCACCTGAGTGGCTTAGTCAGTTAAGCCTCCCACTCGGTTTCTGCTCAGGTTTATGATCTCATGGGTCCTGGGATCCAGCCCCATGTCAGGCTCTGCAGGGAGTCTGCTTGAAATTCTCCTCCTCTGCCCTTCCCCTGCAGCTCTCCCTCTGGGGTTTCAGTTTATAGATCATTGAAAACCATGAAGCTAGATGATATCACCAGAGAAGAAAATGCGGATAAAAAAGAGACCTGAGTCCTGGGACCAGAAGCACTCCACTGAGATCTCAGGGAAAAAGATAGATGGAGAAAATGTGATTGAGAATGAGAGAGATGGAAACTGGGGTGTGTGTGTGTGTGTGTGCGCGCGCAAGGGAGGATTATAATGACTATAGAACTTAATCTGTGTAGGTGTGTGTGTGTGTGTGCAAGGGAGGATTATAATGACTATAGAACTTAATCTGTGTAAGAAATAAAGAGAAAATAAGAGCAGAATGAGGAATTTTAAATGCTGGTATAATCCAAGTATTGTAGAAATCGTAAGTATTGGTGGGAGTGACCTAAAAAGACAGCAGGTTACAGTCAGTAGCTTATTTGATATTGAGATTATAAGGTGTAGTTTTTGTTAGTAAGGAAGTCTAAGGCATGATAATAAGGAAAACTGGTTTATGCAGAATAGAGGACAAAATCATTCGGGGAAGCACAAGTCAAATAAGTCCATGTTGCTGGTTATATTACCTACATAGATTTTGAAATCCCCAATTGTAATACTGAAGTAGTGACCATAAGCTTAAAGTTGAAATTTTTGAAACATGAGAGGCAGTGACTCCATAATGGAAGGGTAATTGGTGATACAGTCTGCTACCATGAGACAGGAGGCCAGAGGGAGACAGAATAGTCTGGCAGCAACAGATTATGATCAAGGAAGACACTTACCACACGTTCAGCTACTATGGTATGATTAATGTGGGAAGAAGAATAGAGGAAGCATGGTCCTCAATTAAGTACTGCATCTCAGATTAAAGTTAATGAAAGGCACAGATAAAAGTTTCAGGATGTTGCTCGTGATGATCCACGAATTCCAGAAAACACAGTGGAAAGATGATAGAAATTGGGAAGAGGTTGGGAAAAGGACAGCATCAGGGACAGGGAATGACTTACAGAAATTAGGGTGTGGAATGAGGGTGATTGGAAGTGATGACTGATGTGCAGAGAGGGGTAAAGAGCAATTAAAATAGCCAGTCCTGGCAACATGGAATCCAAGAAATCACGTGGTAAGGTAGGAACATCTGTAATTATTCACCCTATTTTATGGTATATAAAAACCAAAGAGGGAATCTGGAGGGACTTTTGTACCAGAAATTTAATTTGTGGGAAATAACAGAATTCCTTTGTTGCTGTTCCTTTGTTAGTTATTGTTCCCTACAACTACATCCTCAGGCAGGAATTCTGGGAAAACGCAGTACAATTAATACCAATTTGCTGCATCATTATTATTTATGTAGTTTTAATAATGTATATTGTGTCATAACTCATGTCCATGTTTAAATGTATCTTATAATTCCAAGTTAAAATTATGTCCCCACCTAGTAATTAACTTATATTATTTTTATTGATGGGAAGGTGGCTTAAAGAAGATAAAAGAGTGAAACACCGAGATGCAAGTAAAAAAGAAAAAAGAAAGCCCTCTCGAACTGAGTGTACAAATAACCCAATGATGCTCCATTGGAAACCACAGGTATGATTCATTCGTACATCTGTCTTCTGTAATATATGACCCTAAATGTTTCTATTTTTCACACATAATTTAAATCATTTACTCCTATAGAATTTGTGGACTGCCAGTTGCTTATCCATTTCTCACTTATGGTTTTACTTGAAAAAATACTAACTTTGTTACAGATGATATGCCCAGGTTAAAAAATATGACTCCTCAAGCAATTCTCACAGTGTCCACATGAAATGCAGTTTTGTAAAATGAGACAAAAAATGAGAAATATATAGTCCTTCCAGGACTGCTATTGTTTTTGTTGATAAAAACAGAAATGAAAGTTTGTGGTTTTCCCATCCCAAATCCATCACCTCTTTCTGTCTGATAATAGTTGAGCAGAAAGGTAAAGACTTGATTTCTGGTGGCTATGAGAAGCCACCATACTAGTTCTAGGCTGCATTCCGCAGTGCTTCCACAAAATTACCAAGATTATATAGCATACAGTCACTACAGTTTATTCTCCATGGTCTAGGTTATAGACTAAATGTTTGTGTCTCCCTATATTTCATATGTTGAAACCCTACCCTTTCATGTGATGGTATTATGAGGTGGTGCCTTTGGGAGATAATTAGGAATATTCGTGAACCTCATGAATGAGAATAGTGCTCTTATAAGAGTCATGAGAAAGCTTGCTTCCCCTCCCCGCGTTCTGCCAGCTGAGGATACACTTGCATCTGCAGTCCAGAAGAGGACTCTTACCAGAACTTGACCATGCTGACAACCTGAGCCTCCAGAACATTAAGAAGTAAATTTCTATTGTTTGTAAGTCACGCATTCTATGGTATTGTGTTATAGCAGCCCACAGTCACCCAGTCTATGGTATTGTGTTATAGCAGCCCACAGTTCAAGTTCATAACATAGTTCAAGTTCACAGTTCAAGAAAAATAAATTAATTTCAGTTTTCTTTCTACCATGCCCATATGGACATAAGAACTTCTAGAGATTCAAATTTTTCAATTTGGTTTTATTATTTCTTCCATATCCTAAGCTTCATTCACCACTACTACATTGTGGAGCAGTTGTCTCCTACCTCAGTCTCCTTAATTTGTCACAAGAATGGAGCTGCTTTTCCCCAAAGTGCCTAAATGTGATCATTGGCATTAAATTTGGTACCTAGCACAGGAAAAGGCTTGTATTAAGAAATGCATTTTGTGGTGATAGACAAATGGCACTATATTGAGGCAAATACTTTGAAAGACAGTTGGCACATAATTCATATTAATGCCTACAAAACAGCATTTCAAAGCTCTAAATCCATGCCAATTGAGGCTCTAGCATTTCATGAGCTAGATGTGTTTAAACCTTTCTCCTCAATAGTAATAGTCTAAGCAATTAAAAAACTAGGGCTGTTGGGGCGCCTCGGTGGCTCAGTCGTTAAGCATCTGCCTTCGGCTCAGGTCATGATCCCAGGGTCCTGGGCTAGAGCCCTGCATCAGGCTCCCTGCTCGGCGGGAAGCCTGCTTCTCCCTCTCTCACTCCCCGTGCTTGTGTTCCCTCTCTCGCTGTCTCTCTCTCTGTTAAATAAATAAATAAAATCTTAAAAAAAAAAAACTAGGGCTGTTAATTACAGCTATAAGAAATGAATAACAGCAGCAAGAAAAAAATATAGGAAAGTAGATATTTTCTAAGATACAGAAGTAAGTAAACAACATTTAGGATAAGAAATAAAGAATCCCCTGATTTTTTTTATTTTTATTTTTTTTAACATTCAAATGACATCATTTAGTCTTTATCCCAATGACATAATCAGAAATCTTCTGGACCAGATAGAACAACAGTGTGTTTTAGCTTTTACCCTCATACATCTTAAGAAAGCCATTGTACAAAGTTAGCAACTACTACAAGAAAGATGAAATATAAATTATTTTTTAATTTAAATTCAATTAATTAACATATAATAGTATCATTGGTTTCAGAGATAGAGGTCTTATATAATATCCAGTGCTCATTACATTACGTGCCTTCCTTAACATCCATCACCCAGTTACCCTCTGGTTTAAAAAAACAAATGACATGATGGCTATGCAGACTTAGAAAGGTCACAGATGATAAACATCAACCCAAACAACCCTTTGGTACTCACTAGTTTCCTATTCTGAGGCTTATATATTTTTACGGACCACTCCTCAGATTTTTACTATAGATTTTCACTTAGCCAATTCATATACTGATTTTCTATTCTATATCCAATTTTAAGCCCATAATAGGAAAATGCTCCATGGAATCCATCCTCAATATGGTTATGTGTCACCGGAACTCCAGCGTTCTGAAGTCAGGTGACATACATAATTCCATCATCTCTCAAGACATCATATTGACAAGTGATGACATAGGTCAAGGGTAAACTTCGCAATTTGTTGTCATCAGCCAACAAGGGGGCTGCCCTCACATCTAAAAATCCTGGATATTTTTTAGCTAGCTCAGAACTACTATAAGTTGGACTGTTATAAAAGTGTCCTTTCTTAAATTTCTCAGGGAGAAAAGAACTCCAATTAGCAAATTTGAACAGATGTCTTGATTCCATTGGTACATGTTGATTGAAGAGCATAGCTCTTGCAAGTGATCTGTCCTCGGTATTCACTCCACAACCTGACCATCATTGATTTGGGCAGAGTTGGAAAATGTGAGCATTCCCAATATCATGGTAAATCCATATCAAGAGTCTGAAGGGCAGGATAAATTAAAGCCCGGTCTTGAGTTTGATCTTGATATCTGGGTCATCTATGAGCTGAAAATAATTTAAATGAATTGCTCAAAGAGTAATTTTCATTTAAAAGATATTTTTATTTAAAAACAATATATTGATATGGATAAATCCAGAATCTCAAAAAGATAATCAGAAACAATAAAAAATATATCTAAAAGAACTTTCTAATTTTCAATATTGTATTGATTATTAGATATGTCTTAAATCATGAATATAAACTGATTTGTACTACTTTCCTCATGGATGAAGAAAGAGACCATCTAATCTGTGATTAAAAAGCAAAATATCTACCCTGACAACTAGGAATGGCAATCAGAGGAAACACTTCTTTTTGAGTAAAAAGCTTATGTACATTTATTATTATATCAACAGGCATTAACATTTAAAGGAAAGATCACATTACTAGGAATTCTAATTTGGCTCTGATACTAAACAGACAAATCCTAGGCAAAAGTCTAATTCATTTTAACATTTATGTTTTTTAAATATTCAAATTACATTAGTGCATTAACACAAATTTATCCATAAATTAATATGCATATATTTGGGGTATACTAGAAGGTTTTTATTAAGAAGATACATGACCAAAAATATTTGGAAACCAGTAATATTGAGCATTACAGTTTAGGAGATGTTTTTATGTACATTTCCTTGGTCTTGCAACATTGAAATGGCCTATTGTGTCTCATAGGTTAATTAACTTCTTTTTTGAATTTTTTTTAGTTAAATTCAATTAATTAACATATAATGTATTATTTGTTTCAGGGGTACAGGTCTGTGATTCATCAGTCTTATATAATACCCAGTGCTCATAACACCCACACTTCTCAGAGTGTGGTCCCTGGACCACGAGCATATGCATCATCTGAGGATTTGTTAGAAATTCAAATTCTTGGGTCCTCACCCAGACTTACTAAGTCAGTTAGGGAGGAACCAGCAATTTGCATTTTAACAAGTTTCTCAGGTTATTTTCATGAATGCAAAAACTTGAGATACGCTAGTATAGATCACAAATAGTTATTATTAAAGCCATATGTACTCTGATGCTTCTCAGAGTGAAGTATAATGTCTAAATTGAAGTCTATTTCTTAAAACTTAATATGGACTTGAAGGAAGAGAGCACTCTGACATTTTTTCCTGTGGTATACAGACGACATTTTACACACACACACACACACACACACTAGCAAAAGCAAATGGCAGCACTGTTTTTTTCATTGCCTTTAAAGCACAGTTAGTAATTAGATCTAGTTAGTAAAATAAAATATTTATAAGTCCATTACCAGATTGTTTTATGTAAAAATAATTGTTTTATGTTGGAAAAATGTACTGAATTTAAATAATCATTTCAGTGTTTTATCTCATGTAAGATTACCACATTCCATTTAGCTCAATATCTAGTATGAAGAACACTGTTTACATTAGTAGAAGTGTGGTAGTAATTAAATAAGTAGCTAACAGGTGGCTGATTTTAGATTGAGTTAAGAAGAAATAAAAAAATATTTTGTATTTCGCCAATAAATAGAACTTGACAGGTAGCTAAAAATCTTTGAACATATATATTTAAAAAAAAACTGTCTTTGTACTTAAATATAATACACATAAAATCAAGTATAGAACTTCCTAAAACAAAAATGTAAAATATAACTATGTTTAAGGGTCGGGAGTTTCCCATATACCCTGAGCGGACCACACACCCTTCCTCCCCAGTAGGACTGCACACCCATCTTCCTTCTCATCCTTCATTCTATGGAATTCAATAATGTGTATTTCTTTAAAATTATACCATTTAATCAATGTAGTTTATCTGGCTAAGGACTTTCCATCTATTCTCAGGGAACCAATAATTGTTATTGTGAATTTTACTAAATGCTTTTGCTGTACCTAGTAAGATATATATGATTCTGCTTCCTTTATCTATTAATGTGGTGAAATTCACTTATTTTTATCAAATATGCTTTTCCTTGCATTATTAGCAACTTGGTCATGGTCTATGTGTATATATATACAAGTATATATATATATGTGTGTGTGTATGTATATGTATATATAGTATATATAAATTTTTTCTAATATTTTATTCATGATAGTAATATCTTAGCCCATTGTTTTCCTTCCTGAAACTGTTCCTGTTAAATTAGTCATAAAGACCATGCTTCTCTAAAAATAATTAAAAAGAGTGTACAATGTTTTCCTATTCTCTGGAATATTTTGTATTTATTTTGAGTGATTTCTCCTTGATGTTTGATGTAAATTGCCAGCAAGGTTCCTTACCAGGACTGTTTTTATTACTGATTTAATTTGTTCAATGATTATAAAATGGCTCAGATTTTCATTTCTTCTTGTGTCTGTTTTGCAAGTTATATCTTTCTTGGAATTTGTCTATTGAGTTTAAATATTATTAAATATTTTTTAACTTCAAAGTTTTTCAAAATTTGTCTTTCAAAGACTACAATGTTCATTCTTAACTCATCAAAGCCTAATTCTTTTTCATATTGAAGGGCTTGCAGCATTGTCCCTTTTCCAATCTTGATGTTAATTATTTATGTCTGACTTTGTTCTTCTTCATTTGTCTTTCCAGAGATTTAAAATTTTTATTAGTTCTTTCAAAGAATTAACTTTTTGCTTTTTGTTCATCTTTACTTCTAGCCTGTTTGAATATCATAATTTCTGTTCTTGCCATTACTATTATCTTCCTTCTATTTTTTTTCTTGAGTCAGATGCTTATTTCAACCTTTCTTCCTTTCCAATCTATGCTTGAGGAAGTACAATTTCCTAAAAATATTGTTCTGAATGTGGGGAACATATGTAAGATATATATTCTATTAAATAATGGGTCACTATTAGGTACTTAATGTATTTTTTTAAATTTCCATACAAAGAAGGATATTTTCTTATTTGCCTTTTTCCTATTGATTTCCCACATTGCATTGTGGTTAATAGTCCAAATGTGTGATTTAAATTCTGTGACTTTTTTTTGAGACTTGCTTTATGGACCAGTACTTTGTCAATTTTTTAAAATGATCACATGTATTTGCTTGTTTCCCTGTTTTTTATAGGTCCATGGAGTTAAATGTATTGATCATTATTCCAGGCCTCTATACCCTTATTATTATTATTGCCTGCTTTTCTTAATTACTGAAAGAAGTATTGTTAAATCTCTCATTGTGGTTTTGAACATGTGTGTCTTCCCCTGTAGTTCTGTTAATATTTTCTTCTTACAGATTTAGAGTTATTATATTTTCCTGGTGGTTTAACCTTTTCTGTAATGATGTGATCTTCTTAATCTACCGGCAATTCTTTTAGATGTTATTTCAGGTTATACATTTTCCATCCATTTACTTTCAGATTTTCTGCTTTCTAATCTGACAATCTTGGTCCTACAATCAGATTATTTAGACTACTATTTACTCTAATTACAAAAAAATTGATTTTGATCTACCTTATTTTGTGAATCCTTCTTTTCTGTTTTCTCTATTTTTGACTTCTTTCAGATTGGTTGACCTTTTAATTATTCTATTTTTTTCCTGTCATAGTTTATGTTATACCCTATTTTTATTCTTTAAATGATTACCCTAAGAATTATAATGTGTATTCGTAATGTCTCAAAAACAAATGAAGTTATCAAAGGCCAATTCTAAGTCTTTGTTTCTTCTTAGATAATAAAAAGAGCTTAAAAGACTTAAAATCTGCCCTCCCCTCCAATCTTGAACTTATGGTTTGTTTTTCTTATACTTCAACTCTATATATCTTATTATTTTAAACTATCCAAGTTTAAGATTTACGCACACCTTACCACATTCTTGCTTTTTCTTCTTCCTGTATCATAAACTTTTATCTGCATTTTCATTCTGTCTGAAACATTTATTTAAACCATCTTTTACCGTGTTCCATTAATAGCAGTTTTCTTAATTTTGTTTTTTCTGAATTTCTCCTTTATTTGTTTTATTTTATTTATTTCTCCTTTATTTGTAAGTAATATTTTGTGCACCATAGGATTTGGTTGACAGTAAAAATTGCTGCACTTTGATAATATTCCACTAACTTGGAAATTACATTCTCGCTATTGAGAAATAAGCTGTCAGTATGACTTGCACTTCTGTGAAGGCACTCTTTTTTTCTCTGAGATTTCCTCTATTTCATTTTTTCAGATTTTTAAAAAATTTTTAAAAATAATCTCTATACCCAGTGTACTCACAACCCCAAGATCAAGAGTTGTATGTCTTACCAACTAAGCCAGCCTGGCACCCCTCTATTTCTTTCTTTTAATTTTGTGTTGTTGGTTTTCTATACTTTCGCCTTGCTGTGTTACATGTAGATTTCTCTCTATTTATTTATTTTTAATCTTTTAAAAAAGTATGTTCAAGATTCATGGAGCTTCTTTTATCTGTATCTTGATATCTTTCATCAGCTCTGCACAATGCCCTACTATATTTTTAAGTATTCCTTTCTCCCATTCTTTCCCCTTTGCTTCTGGCATAACATTTAAAAAGTATTGGATTTTCTTATCTTCTCTTTTGTATTTTCTATCTTTTTTCTATCTTTTGTATTTTTCTATCTATCCATGCTTCATTTTGCAGAGTCATCCATAGGTCATATGACTCATCTTTCAGCTTATAAATGATCTCTTAGCTATGTAAAATCACTTAAACAATTCATAAAGTTTTTATTTTGATAATTTCATTTTTAGTTTTGGAATTTTTGTTTTTCAAAATTTTTTCTGCTGAAATTTGCAATCATGGTTGTGAATTAATTGAAGAAATTAGGATAATTATTTTATATTCTGGCTGATAACTGCAGTATCTGAATTTTGTAAAGTGTCTTTCTGTTGTCTGTTGATTCTGCTTGCTTTCCTTCATTGTTTCTTGTTTACTTGTTTGCCTGGATATGTTTTATTCCATGCTGGATACTGATTTCAAAAAATGTTTGCAGGAATAATTTGAAATCCATAATGACACCATATTTCTCCAGGGAGTATTTTTATACATTTCTGTCTAGTATACTTGATTATCAACTGTTCACACTAACTTAAGTTCAAGGACTGAAATTTCCCCATTCGATCCAGGTGATGTGAAGCAGGGCTCCAAATGCATATGAGGTTTGTTCTATATCACATTTACCCTGACAGTGAGACCATATCTCTTCAGGGCCTCACTTAAAGTTAGAAGTACTTCATAATTGTCACCATTTTTGGATGGCCCTGGAACTTGACTTCAACTCCGTAGCTCACCTTGATTGAACAGTTTTCTTTTGATTGGCGTATACCATTAGAGCAGAGAGGACATTGAGTGCTAGGCTTATCTTTGTGTTGTGTGTGTGTGTGTGTGTGTGTGTGTGTGTGTGTGTGTGTGTGTGTGTTGTAGCCTTAAAAAACTTTTTGGCCTAGAAACTTCTCATATCTTATTATTAGTTTAATGCTCTCCAGAATAGTATAAGATATTTTAACCAGATTTTTAATAATTATGGGTCTGAATTCATTGGTTCACCACTATAGGAGTCTAAACTCCATATGAGGGTTCATTATGCAACACAGTAAAAAGAAATTGATGCTCGAAAAGATTAGGTGGCTTGTCCAAGGTCATAGAGCTGGACACTTCTTTAGCTTCAAAAATCCATGTTTCCTGATGTGCCCTTTGTACTGCCTCAAGATACCTCTCAGAGTGACAATGACTACACAATATAGAAGTTAATTTCTGGGAAGTAGCAGATATCTGTTCTGCAGTATATTTGTAACAAATCACAAAATTTATATCTTTCCTTTGCCTACAAATCATGAGAAGGTTATTCTGAAGTTACCAATAGCCAAAATTCATATACTTTTAAATACAATCAACAAAATCAACAGCAAGTTTTGTTTGATTGTATCATAAATTTATGTGCAATATTTATGATTAGAGTTAGTTACTGAATTGCAAACATTCATTTGTAAATCTACAAGCAATTCTTTTTTCATACAGGAACACAGCGTCAAAGCCATCAGTGCCTGGTTTATTTCTTAGGTCGGATAACAACATCAAAAACACTTTTACTCACTATTAGACTAATTATGATTATGTGTCACTTTAAATTGATAGCCAATAGATGCCCAGTTTTAGCTAAGTGTCATAGAAATAGTGTGATGGTTGATTTCTGAAAATTATAATTCCTTCTGCAAGTAAACAGTATCCATAAACCTGCTAACATTTTTTGTCTATAGGCAAATTAAGAATTCTGATAACAGTTTTCATGCAAGTTTTAGTATACTCCATGAAGGATGCTGGATTAATCTGATTCTGTAGCTATGGTGATGGTATCATTTATTGTTTCACAAATACCACCCCTAATAAAACAAAATAGTGTGGCGCTCAGCTGACCATATTAATTATGCTTAAACCAATGATCTGAAAAGAGTATTTTATCATTTTATTTTTTTAAAAAATCTGGCAGAATGTAGGGGCACCTGGGTGGCACAGTCAGTTAAGTGTCTGACTCTTGGCTGTGGCTCAGGTTGTGATCTCAGAGTTGTGATCTCAGGGTCGTGATCTCAGGATTGTGAGATCGAGTCCCACATCAAGCTCTGCACTCAGCACAGAGTCTGCTTAAGACTCTCTCTCCCTGCTACATGAGCGACCTTGTGTCTGAGTACCAGCAGCACCAGGATGCCACAGCTGAGGAGGAGGGCACTTTTGAAAAGGAGAGGGCCTAGACCTGTCTGGTACCCAGTAAAGCATGGAAGCCCTGTGAACTCTGTTCACTCACAACCTGTTCTCCGATAGCCGTGTCTCACTGTGTGAGTCCAGTCGCTTTTCTTCCTGTCTTGAGATTACATGCTGTATAGTCTACCACCATTAAAGCATTTTCAAAGTGAAAAAAAAAAAAGACTCTCTCTCCCTTTCCCTCTGCACCTACCCCCCACATGCTCTCTCCTTCTCTCTCTAAAATACATAATAAATAAATAAAACTTTTTAAAAAATCTGGCAGAATGTAGGAATAGAAGCACTCAGGATATAAATGTTCTCTAATATTTATCTGTACGTATCTCTAATTTCTAACGTATTAACATAACATAATTGCTTTGATATGTTAATGTTTGAAATAGATATTTAAGTGTAAAATAGTTTTTTAAAAGAAGCAAACCTAAGCAACGTACCTGTTGAGTCACTGCTGCCACTAAATTCCCTCCAGCGCTTTCTCCAGAAATACCAATCCTTTCAGGATCCACACCATATTCGTCAAGAACATCTTGGCGCAAGAACCACTTTAGTGCATTATATGTCTTCAAAGTGATTTGGAAAGCGATATTTGGGTGCTAGTCTGTAGCTGTGAGCAGAATAACAATGTTTTTTAAGTCAATTATTTTTCATTAAAAAATGTGCATCCGTGTAGAGCAGGAGACATACTCTAACCCTAAAAATCAAATGTAGAAAAATTTTCTTTAGCAAACCTGGTATTTGGGGTCTTTATGAATCCAAAGACAAACTTCATTCTTATGATAATGCTTGATATGAAAGCTTTACAAATTTTTACATTTTCCATAAGTAAAGGCTTGAATGTAAAACTTGGATTAGACTTAAGAAAAAAAGAAGTGATCATTTCCTTTAAATAAACTTTTACCAGAATGTTATTTTCTTTGTAACCATTATGCTTCATTACTGACCAATAAATAGCAAACAAAGCTTAGGAATTATAATATTCCAGCTTAATGTAATAACCAAGTTGGCATGCAGTCACTATTGTGGATTTTTTTCATAGTTTCTTCATTTTTCTATTTATTCCCATTGGGCTTGCTTTCTTTATTAATTATTAATCTGGAATGTTTTTTGAGAATAGATTTTGCCTGTATTCCTATATGTTATTTGGTGACTAATTGCATTTAATGAAGGATTGTACCATGAAATACACTCTACTCATTGCTTTAAATGCATTTTATCACTTAATCCTTAAAATAAGTCTATGATATAGAAAATATTATATGATTCCCAGTTTATATCTGAGAAAACGGAGCTAAAATGATATTTAGCTGCCACAAAGTCATCCAATTAATTCTACAACCAGGCTTTGAAACTGATTCTCTGACTCCAAAGCCTTCATCTTACTTAGCTAATTATGAGTAAGCTAGGGGTGCCTGGGTGGCTCAGTCAGCCTCTGACTCTTGATATCAAGGCCGTGAGTTTAAGCCCTATGTGGAGAGCCTCCTGAAATAAAAGGAGTAGGTTAGAAATCCAGCAGAGGTCATTTGTCCCTAAGATGCAGTAGTTTAATTTTATTGTAACAATTTTTTGACTTCCTGTTTTTGATCCCTGTTTGACCTAACTATACAACTCTTTTTACTCTAACTCTTTTCTGGTCATGTCAAGATCACTTTCCCTATTCTCACCCTCTCAATTTCATTTGAAACACTGCCAGCATAACCGAGAACAACCAAGACAACTGAGAGCATCTTACCGTATAAGGCATCTGGCCAAAACTCAGACAAATCAACGGTCTTCTTACTTGGCTGAAATGACAACAGCCTCAGGTCTATCAGCTGTCTGTCTTGACAGGAAGTCATAACCAAACAAAGCTGAAATAAAAGAAAATAAGATCAGAAACTGACAAATGAATTGACGAGTGTTTCCATCAGCAGAAAGCTTATCCCTATACCTTTTCTCCTCACTGAAGTGTTCTGGGAAAAATTTTTCCAAGATTTCATCTCATCATAGCTATAGAACATGAATTATTCTGCTCAGTGATCCTTTTACATATGTATTGTCAGCGTTCTGGTCCTTCCCCACATTTTCACACTGGATAATTTAAACCAAATTTCATTCTTTTTGAGATTAATCTCTTCTCCCTTCATTCAGCAGGCATTAGGTGTTGAAAGAGTAAACACATACATACTAACTCCCTGGCTTTCAGTAAGTCACAATCTACTAGGGACAGGGGCAGGGAGAGGCAGGCATATAAGCAGAGGGCAGCGATGCAAAATATGAGCTGTTTTAATGGGGAGGTACTTGAATGGAAATAGTACTTGACTTTATCAAAACCGCCAGAGAAAGATAAAGAAAAGAAGAAGTAGGGAAAGCTAAAACCTGATTTATATATTCACATTTTCTAGGCAGACAAGAAAAACTGTGTTTTCTGTGGGCGGGGGGTGGTGGGCATGTGTGTGGAGTGGGGATGAGTAGGCTTGGGTAAATGCTCCCTTTTGCAAATAAGAAAATTGTAAGATGACATAGAATTTGCCAGTAATGAGAGGAGGGAGAAATCATAAAGTGTTACGGGGGAAGTATCAGAATATGTAGTTGTCACAAACGTTAAATCATGTGGGCCATGAAAAGAAGAGTAGATATTATTTTGAAATGATTCCAAAGTCAGGTGCTGAATATTCTTAAAATATCAAATACACACTAAGTTTTAAGCTTTTATTTAACATTTGCTATAAGAAGTCATTCTTATATTTTGAATTAGAACATAAATTGTTATGTCTTTTTAATATAAAAATAAAAAACATCAGGAAAATACCATTTTGTTTCAGGGCTTATTCTTATTTAATTCCTTTATCTTGGTAAGCATACTCCCATTCTTTAATAATACTTTGACAAAAGGATTTTTAAATAAGTGCTTTGGGCAGCAGGGACTCATGGAAATGGACTGAGGCATAGCATAGTCAGATTTTGCCTTAGAAACCTCACTTCATCGCCAGCTAATGACTTTACTGTCTGTATTTATAGAAGATGATAGACAGGATCATACCCTTTACTGCTCTGATTTACGTTTCCAGTCTATATCAATACCCATCAACACCTCTTTTTCTCCTGTTACAGAGAAAGTGTGTTTCTCCTCCTATGTGTTGCTAATACTTCTCCTCTGCACTAAGTCCAATTTCTTCTTATATCCTCTAGATCAGGCAAACCTCATTCCATCCTCCAGCTACCCCCCCATTTCTCCAGCATATTTATATTAACTGCCATCTTTACCTTCAGTTTATAAACATGTTCATAGATCTCTCTTTGTAAATATAAAATGCATATAATATAAAATAAATATACATAGACAAAATAAAACATAAAATTTTACATTATATACAGTAACATTATATACATTAAAATATTACATATTTCATATATTTATATAAACATTAAAAATGCACAAAATAAACTGAAATATATATGTATTTTTAATTTAATTTAATTTTGTTATGTTATGTTAGTCACCATACAATACATCATTAGTTTTTGATGTAGTGATCCACGATTCATTATTTTCATATAACACCCAGTGCTCCATGCAGTATGTGCCCTCCTTAATACCCATCACCGGGCTAACCCACGCCCCACCTCCCTCCTCTCTAAAACTCTCAGTTTGATTCCCGGAGTCCAGAGATTCTCATGGTTCATCTCCCCCTCCAACGTCCCCCCCTTCATTTTTCCCTTCCTCTCCTAATGTCCTCTATGTTATTCCTTATGTTCCACAAATAAGTGAAACCATACGATAATTGACTTTCTCTGCTTGACTTATTTCACTTAGCATAATCTCCTCCAGTCCCATCCATGTTGATGTAAAAGTTGGGTATTCATCCTTTCTGACGGCTAATATTCCATTGTATATATGGACCACATCTTCTTTATCCATTCATCTGTTGAAGGACATCTCGGCTATTTCCACAGTTGGGCTATTGCAGACATTGCTGCTATGAACACTGGGGTGCATATGGCCCTTCTTTTCACTACATCTGGGTCTTTGGGGTAAATACCCAGGAGTGCAATTGCTGGGTCATAGGGTAGCTCTATTTTTAACTTTTTGAGGCACATCCACCCTGTTTTCCAAAGTGGCTGTACCAACTTGCATTCCCACCAACACTGTAAGAGGGTTCCCCTTTCTCCACAACCTCTCCAACATTTGTTGTTTCTTTCCCTGTCCATTTTTGCCCTTCTGACTGGTGTAATGTGGTATCTCAATGTGGTTTTGATTTGAATTTCCCTGACAACTAATGATGTTGAACATTTTTTCATATGTCTGTTAGCCATTTGTAGGTCTTCTTTGGAAAAGTGTCCGGTCATGTCTTCTGCCCATTTTTTGAGTTGATTATTTGTTTTTTGGGTGTTGAGTTTGAGAAGTTCTTTATAGATCTTGGAAATCAGCGCTTTGTCTGTAGTGTCATTTGCAAATATCTTCTCCCATTCTGTGGTTGCCTCTTTGTTTTGTTGGCTGTTTCCTTTGCAGTCAACAAAATATATATATATTTATATAAAATCAAGGTTTTTAAAATACCCTTACTGAGCTCTGGGCTTCTTTTCCCTCTAGCACCTTTCTCATTTCTTTCTTATCGAAGCTGAATGAAAGACTTGAGTCATCATCCCCATTTCCTCATTTCTCATCCACTATCCCATGTACTTCATTTTGGTTTTCATTACAACATTCCATCATTTCTGCAATTAACAAGTTTAAGAATAAATGTCTAAGCTCGTGAAACACTTTTTCTTCTGACCTGAGATTTGCTACAGCAAATCACTATTCCCTTTCAGAAAGAGATCTGAAATAATTCCTTTAAACTAACATAGCTCCAAAGAAATGAATTTCAGACAGCTGAAGTGTTATATTTTCTGGGATGTTTATCAGATATATCTTCTTGATATGTGAAGTCAACATCTTAATAAAATATATGCTATATGACAAATTGAGATTTTTCAACAAGGAGCACATACCAGCACTCCCCAAACACCAACCACCACCATGAACATAAAATAAGGCCCTCCTTAGTCTCTCTGGCTTTCGTTTTGGCACATAGACACGGACAGGAATGTTGTTGAAAGTTGTCTCCATCACAGTGACATTTTCATCAGATGTGGGTGGGACTTCTTCAAGGTTCACAAAGAACATTGCAATGTTCACAAAATGGTTGATTCCCAATAGTTCAGCAAACAGAATCTAAAAGAAGGGGGAGGTACACCAGGTTACAAATACCAAATGTCAATGTTGTTTATGAACATAGAAGTATGCTGTTTGCTCCCAATAGTCCTGTACTGGATTGTCAAACAGGTGAATCTGAATGACACAGTTAGAAATACTGGAGATTCAGAATTTTTACCACACCACAATAGTTGCCTCATATAAATAAAGGTAAAGAAATTACAGAGGTATTACATCTTGGCAGGTTCCATGCTTCCTACCTTGAGTACAAAGACAAACGGTGAGTTCCCTACTCTAAATAAGCTCAGAGTCAAGTGGGAGAAATGGATATATAAGCAGTTATAAAGCAACATAACTGCATGTCTCATAGACATATACAATGAACTTTGGCAAAGGTCAATAGGAAGATAAACTAGTTGCCTGGACATGAGACCTGGGGAGATGTTTTCAAACAGTAGGTGAACTCTGTTATGGGTACTGAACTCTGATATGCAAGAGTTTGGCCAGACAAAGGAGGAAAACTCCCTCTAGGCCAAAGTTAAAGACACAGGGAGGCTCGTACTACAATCGGAGAAATGCAGGTAGCTTAGTAAAGCTATGAAGTCAGGTCCACACAAGGATGAAAAAAAGAAAAGAGACCTCAGGAGGTGAGTATGAGCCCAACCATGAAGGATCTATAATGTTAGAATTCCAAGAATCAAAAAGACTCATTTTCCAATCTTAAATTGGAAACATGTGGTGATTAATTAAATAGTTGGGTCAACCTCTTTACCATTATACGAAGGTAAAACAGGTACAAAAGGAATAAGCAAAATTATCTGTTTTCAATACTGAATCATCCCCACCTCATTCCTGAAAGGCAGGTCAGGGAAATACATTTCCCACAACTCCATGCCAGATTAAATTATGCCACAAAGAAGCACTCCTACAAGAATGAGAGGGCAGAAAAAAAAAAAAAAAAAAAAAGCCATTATTTTCTCTGAGCCCCTATGGGTATTGATTAAACATGTGGCTTTTTTTTTAAGTCTGACTTAATCTGTATTGTTATGGTTTCTTACCCAATTTTGAGAGCTGCCTCCTAGCATTCCCCAAGAGAACAAAGACCTTTGGTTTGGATGAGTTAAGATTGAGGCAAAGTGGAACACCCAGACTTTGGAAAGAAAATACTAGGCACTCATTCTGAAATGGTATTAATTCCTAGAGACTCCAAAGCCACCATGGCCACCAAGCAGAGTGAATCTTAAGGGTATGAAGTATGAAAGAATGTTCTAGATTGATTTCCAATTAAAATGGGTCCAAGGGTGTAAATATCCATAGCTGTGCTTATTTCCCCAGTTTCTGTCAATGGATAGTTCAAATAGACATACTTGGCAACTGACAGTGTCCTTACTTTGGCTCCTTATTCCATTAGTCAAGAGGTATTATGGAAGTTAGGGCCATGCAGAAACACCTGAAACTACCTCTCCCTACTGAAAGAGTAAAAGAAAAGCAATAATAAATCCCAGGGAATCACAAAGATTTGTGCCGCAATCAAAAGATTTGAAAAATTTAGAGGTGATAATTTCTGTACAAGTCTTAAAATGACGCAAGATTTTCTCCCTGACTAAACACTAGCCAGGCTCCTCTGAGTCCCTTTCTCAACTGGGCCTCAACCTTGTCCTATAAAAACTACAGACACTCAGCACAAATGACTTCATTCACTCCCTTTCTCCCACATTAGCATAGCTCAATGCTACGGCAAAAATGTCCTGCTTGTTTTAGCCAACACCTGACAGATAAGCCCCTGATCATCCTTTCTGAGGGTACTTACTAAAAAAGGCTTACAATGGTGAATCCTTTCTCTGCCTCTTTGAAATGTATATGTATCTCCTACAATTTAGGAGTGTCTTTCTCAAGGACCTGAAAGCCATTCCCTGGGAATGTAATCATTAGGAAGAACTGAGAGAATAGGGCGCCTGGGTGGCTCAGTTGGTTAAGCGACTGTCTTCGGCTCAGGTCATGATCCTGGAGTCCCAGGATCGAGTCCCACATCGGGCTCCCTGCTCAGCAGGGAGTCTGCTTCTCCCTCTGACCCTCCCTCCTCTCATGTGCTCTCATTCTCTCTCTCAAATAAATAAAAAAAATCTTAAAAAAAAAGAACTGAGAGAATAGAATCCAAACTTCCATAATTGCCAGTGGGCCTAAATGCATGTATAATAACCAACCCACTGTCACTTGTCATTTCCTGATCCTGAGCCTTCCCTTGCTCCCTTCCCTATTCTCATTCTCCCTTTAAAACATCCATTCACCTCTGTACAAACTGAAGTTGAGTTCAAATCATGCTGACCCACTTCCCTATTGCAATAACATATTATTGGCTAAAATCTGAACTTACCACTTTACCAAGGGCCTGCTTTTGTTTTAGTCAAAGGGTGTATCAACTATATGACTTAAACAGAGGACAGATGAATATTTGAGAAAGACAGAATTATCTTAAACTTAATCAGGTCATAACTGCAATTGCAGCTACTATTCCAGATATGATCTCTTTAATGGAACAAATCAACACAGCTTCTGGCTTCTAGTACACAGCATTCATTTGGGCCTGTCTCCTCTACCAGTTAGCAAGGAAAGCAGTACACCGTTACTATCTTGCTTTGAGTCTATAGGAGCTCTCTTGCTCCCCACATAATCTGATCTACAAGAATTTCTACTGTCTTTGTATGTCACAGGACATCCTGCTGGTCCACAACACTGTGTCATCAAGCTTATAGATCTGGTGATTGAGAAATCGCAAGTACTGTGTATGCATGCCTTGGTAAATCATATATGTGACAAAGAATACATAGTAAACCTCATGAAATTTAGGGACTTGTTACTTTGGTTTCTGAGTGTTCAATAGTCTGGGGCTTCTTGGATATTGTCTCCAAAGTGAAAGAAAGTTGCTATATTTGTACTATCACCATATAAAAGGGGCAAAATGCTCACTGACTCACTTCAGATTAAGGTAGCAAAATACTCCCAATTATTTATCAAGTAAGCCTAATACTCAGCCTGCTGGATTTTAGTGGAAACTAAAGACAAGAGAGTCTCTGCATCACATCCAGGATGCACTGCAAACTGCTCTGTTCCCCAGAGCGGAACCAATGGTGATCAAAGGGTCTGGGACAACTAGGGGTGTGGTAGGGAGGGTGTGGCAAGAACTTATGATTTTGAGCAAATCCATTCCTAGTCCTCTTGCACTCTCTGCAATAATGAACCTGGCTTGCTTTTAGGCACTGGTAACGCTTTGTACAAATTCCCAATGAGAACGCCTTACTCCTTCACTAGTCATCTGCACCACTTTTGTCTTAAAACTTTCTATGTTTGCCTCTACTTAAGAAGCATGTACTACTAAAATAGAAAAATATTTGTATTTAATTATATATATGGTGTGTGTTTATATATGAGCATATACTTATGGCTGTGTATATGAGTAAAACTATGTATACACATATATCTATGAGTATAAATATACCACACACACACAAACATGTATGTAAGTGTATGTGTATGTGTGTATATATATGTGTAATGTATGTATATATCACACGCATACACACACATACCCCCATCTCCGCGAAGTCTGTTTCCTTTATGTTCAGATTTACTTTAGGACCTGGGATTTCTCTATGCTTTCATACTCCTTCTTTCACCTCAATTGCAGTAAATGTACCTCTAGTTTCTTCCTTTATGCATAGCTCCTACTATGTATCCTTCAAAGACTCCAGATTCACCAAAACAAAACTGGCATCAGAGAAATAGTCATTAAAATAACCACACTTTCACTTTTCAGCTATCACAAAATCTACCACTTTACTGTCTTTTTTTTGTTATTGTTCATTTTTAAAGTTTCCCATTTTTTACAGACTCCTAATTGAATTCTCAAACTGTACTTCCTGCAGCCTTCCTGGGTTTTAAGAAAAAATACATCAAAATTACTTCTAACCTGAGTGTTTACTGGATTGAAAAATTCACCAAGGGGGGGTCCCCTTTAAAAGTTCTGGGAGTAATAATCCCCCTGGGATCCCTTACGGAAGAAAGCATAGAGGAGTCAGGATAGCAGTGAAGTCTGTGCAGGGACTCAGGCCTACATCAGGGGAGTCCCTGGAGTGCAAGCTTCTTCAGTGCAAGTGAATGCAATCTGACTTCACAAAATATACTGCATGTTCAGTGTGTGCGAAGCCCAGTGCTAGAAAGTATATTGATGCAAGATGCCTCGGATAGAATTTTCTCTTTTTTTTAAGATTTTATTTATCTGTCAGAGAGAGAGAGCTCACAAGCAAGAGGAGCTGCAGGCGGAGGGAGAGGGAGGCAGAGGGAGAGAGAAGGGGAGAAGCAGGCTCCCCGCTGAGCAGGAAGCCAGATGCGGGGCTCAATCCCAGGACCCTGGGATCATGACGTGAGCTAAAGGCAGACGCTTCACCCACCACCCAGGCGTCCCAATAGAATTTTCAACTTTCATGGACTATCGGTAAAAGTGAACATTCACATAAATGACCTGCTATAAAAAACAAAATGAAGAAAGACCTTGAATAGGGTGGTGAGGTAGGAAGAAGAAGGGGATCAATTCTAACTGATAATATGAAGATAGTGTCTGGTGGGTGCTTTTAATCTGCAAATTATGAGTGTTTAAAAAATTTTAGGATTAGTTAAGAGAGGCAAGACAATTTGATCAAAAGCCTGAAGGAAAAGAATGACAAAGTGTTTACAAAAACCCAGAAGTTTTCTAGAAGCTAACTAACCTTCTTAGGCTTTATGGTTGAATTACATTGAATTATACTGGGAAGCTCTGTTGAGGCTGCATTGTGGGGAGCTGTTTTCAGAACACGGTGGTCTATTCTTTCTTTATAAGAGTATTAACAAGCAATTTAATATGTTCTAACTAGCTAACAACAAAATAAATGGTATATATAATATATGTGTATCATTAAATACAATGATCAAAGAAATTGTTAAAATTAAATAAATTTTTAATTTGTAGGCATTGTGAAATATCTGGGGAATTAAACTGATAATAATCCATTTATTATTTTCTAATTCATGTATTGAAAAGTCATTTCCAGTTATTATCCTGTTTTATTTAGTCCAATGTCTCAGACTAATTTGATCCAAAAAACAATAACATTATGATATGGACATGTATTGAGAAATTATTAGATTTTCCTGAAGTTAAGAAGTTAGTTATAGTCAAAAGAAAGGATAAAAGACAGCATGCAATCAACTAACAGATTGATGACAGATAGGTTGATAAATACTAGCAGCTTCATAATATATATATTCACATGTATATATTGTACTATCTATATTTATATAGTTATAGATGTTACTCATATCTATGTCTAACCCAAGTCCAAATCTGTATTCATATGCATATCCATATCTGTCTGTATCTATCTCTATAAAACTTATAGGTATTTTTCAAAAACTAATGATGTAATGTATGGTGATTAACATAACATAACAAAATTTTTAAAAAATTAAAAAAACTTATAGGTATTTTTACAGAAATTTGACTTGAACATGATTTTCAATATTTATTTTATTCAGTATTGCCAATGTTCAGCTGGAAAATTTTTTCATACAATTGTATCCGGCTGTAAAATTACAAACATCCATGGGCACCTGGATGGCTCAGTTGGTTAAGCATCTGCCTTCAGCTCAGGTCATGATCCCAGGTCCTGGGATTGAGCCCCACATCCATCAGGCTCCCTGCTCAGCAGGGAACCTGCTTCTCCCTCTCCCTCTGCCTGCCACTCCCGCTGCTTGTGATCTCTCTCTCTCTCTCTCTCTCTCTCTGTGTCAAATAAATAAATAAAATCTTTAAAAAATTACAAACATCCAAGGGTAGTGGGGAGGGAGGATGGGTTAGCCTGGTGATGGGTATTAAAGAGGGCACGTTCTGCATGGAGCACTGGGTGTTATATGCAAACAATGAATCATGGAACACTACATCAAAAATTAATGATGTAATGTATGGTGATTAACATAACATAATAATAAAAAAATTACAAACATCCAGTGATAACACAGGCAGTAGTATGGAGATAGATACAAATAACAATTCTACTTATTGTTTTTAATTTTTGCCGGATTTGTGCTTGTACTCATTCAATTCTTACTAAGACCTGATCCGTAGTAATATATTCCCAGATTTTCAGTTGAGCACATTGTGGTAGGAGAGCTTAAAAGATCTGTTCATGTGCATCCAGACAGTTAGTGATGGATATGGGATTCAAGCCCAGGTCTGACTCTGGAGCTAGGTGTCACTCCTGACTAGACAATATGCTGTCCCTTAGTGACCATCATTACATGCCTATGAGAGACTAGGCAGAAACCTAACTCTCTGGTCACCTGGGGCCTGGCCCAGGTCTAGTGGAATGGTGTATCCCACGGCCAGCAGCATTTCCCAACCTACTCATGCTACACCTGGGTAGGTGTTCAACTATCAAGCAAATACCCCTCCTTACTGGTGCCCAGCAACTGTCCCAAAGAGAAGTCAGTTGTTAGACCCACAAAAAGTACACACTTCCAAGAAATGACTGCCCTCACGTTGCAATTGCAGCCAGAAGGGGAGAACTTCATATAGAGTAAACTGCAAATGCTTAGTCCATGCCTGACAGGCTTTGGGAGACCACTTATTCTAGCTATGAGTATGCTCCATGTCTTCTCCATATTCTGGGTATACTCCCCAAACAGACAGCTCCACATATGCCAACCATGTTCCCCAACACTTGGGTGTCTCCTCCCTGCACCTCTTTACAATTACACAAGGGGTGGAGACTCCTACCTCCAGCAGACCATCTTCTGTCCTTTTTATTTCCACATTATTTTTACAGAGTGTTAAATAATATCCTCCATGTTTCTGCTGGGTATGATTTTTGTACAAGCCCTCCAACCAATTAGCAAAAACGTTTGAAGAAATCACATAAATATCAGGACTGCTGATTTTAAATGTCACCACAGAAAAGTAATAGTTAGATCATAAGCATTTATTTACTTAATTTTAACAAATTTAAAATTTCTACAGCCTATGACATAAAGTAGGTATCAGAGGAGTAATTGTTTCTAAATATGCTAATTTAGTTGGCCCTCTGGTTTAAATCAAAGTTAAGTACAGAAAATATAAGGCCCTCTTTTAAAACATAAGTCACCAACTCAAGGAGTTTATCTGCAAAGAATGAGGCTGGTTAGCTCAAATAAATATTTTTTAAATGATTGAAAATTGTCTATGTTATACAAATTAAAGATAAGAATTTAGTTATGAAAATAGTAATTGTAACATGTTGTGTAAGACAGTACTAAGTATAAAATTTTGTAAAAAGACTTTATAATCTCACAAACTTTTGGATCCTACTAGGAAGTGTAATAAATATATAACAAAAGACTAAGAAGTTACCGGTGTGTTAAAAATAATGTCCAGTGTCCCCGGAGTCTGAATTGACTCACAATGATTTTACAGTTTCTTTCATTGTCTTTCCTTTAGTGAACTGTGATGAATTAGAGCAATAGCTTAGTGGATATATCTTCTCAGATCACTTCCTTTCTTTATACTAACTCTTTACCCTAAAGGGAATTTTTATGTAAATTCGAAATATCAAATAATAGAGAGGGAAAATTCGGACCAACTTGGGGATTTATATCCCTAAATTTATGGACAAAATTATTTCTTGTATCTTAATCTGTCATACAGAGATCTAGCCCCTAAAGGAAAAATAATAAAATTGAATTTCTGAGCATTTAAAGTTAAGAAACAGTACCTATGCCATTGGCTGCACCCAAGTTAGGGTTTTGCATAGGAATTTTAGGTATTTGGTAATTTGGAAACTAAAATGATCATTGGGCCTCAAAACGTTCACCCTTTACAGGCCAACCCGTGTATCTTTGAGGTCACAGTAGGAAAAAGAAGTAAGCTGGGCCAAGTGTAAACAAAGAACAGAAATGATAAAACCAGTATTTTTAAAAATGGCCTTAAACCTGGGAAGCTTCAAATTGTGTCGTGATGAGCACTGGGTGTTATACACAACTAATGAATCGTTGAACACTACATCAAAAACTAATGATGTACTATATGTTGGCTAATTGAGTATAATAATTAAAAAAATAATTTTTACATATTCTAAAAAAAAAATTATCTCAATGCAACCAAGGAAAACTTTACAATCTGGTATTGTGGTGGAAAACACTTCACGAATGCTTGCAATCCCAAACCCAGGATAGGTTTGATAGTGTTATGTTACTTGACTACAATGTTACTTCTTACCAAGACTAGATACAACCTCCTAGTCCTTACCAGGTAATGCTGAGCAATCTATTAGAGTTGGCATTTTAGTTAACTATATTTGATATTTATATTCTAGGAGATAATGCTGCACCACAAACAAGTTGACAGGTGATTGTATTCCATGACTTCCATTTATCTTCATCATTGAATTATCAAAAGTGTGAATTACTATTCTTTATCTTAAGTTCAAACTGATCAGCAAAGCATAAAATAGGACCTCATGGCATTAAATTCAAGCAAGAAACTGTTGAGCTTTTTTCTTTTGGGGGGAGGGTAGGAGGATTGGCAAAA